TCCATCGCTCACCTGAGGTGACGCAGTTTGAGAGATGGAAGTTTTCAGGATCTTTTCCATCATGGCTGAGTGCACAGTCGTAGAGCCAGGGAAGAGAGAGGACCAAGTGTGTCTGCCATCATTGTATGCCACCTCTACACACTGCCCCCATGTAACGTTACTTAAGTGTTAAAGTACTTTCTTATGCTCATTTGCCATATGAAGTAACTAGGAACTTTTACGGAGTGTCTACAGTCTACAGCTATGCAGCCAGGACTAAACCTAAGTTAGAACCAGGTGTCTGCAAACACGAGCGCCGTCTTCCACCTATCCTGCTTTTGGCTTGGCTGAGGCCATCAGCCCCTTAGTGCAAAGTGAAAGAGATGTTCGAAGTATTCTTAAAGCAATAAAATCTGGGAAGATTTATTTTTCCAGAGCAGTGGAACAAAATAATAAAGAAATATATTTAAATATATGCAAATAATTTGTATAATTTGATAAGTTTTAAATCAAAACAATTTAAAAGCTAGACATTGAGAGCTAGCATTAAAGAAATGCATGTAAATCAGTCTCTTTTTGAGGAGGTGGAATAAGCTAAAGCCATATTCTGTTAAAAAAGAAAGAAAAAAGGAAGGAAGGAGAAGAAAAGGCCAGTTCTTCAGGGACTCTGATTGTATTGGAGGTTGTGCCAACCTCACTTATAAGGACTGATGGGGAAAATACTTACTTTAAGAGGCACCATGTTTTACTATATATTTTTCCCTTGGGGAAAGAATGCTTAAAAGACAGAACAGCCCTGTGCTGTCTCCCTGGATTCTCCTGAACTCCGGGAGAGATACCCTCCTACGGGCTGCCAGTGCCCAGAACATGTGTGCTCTCTTCCTGAAAGGGAAGGCTTATAGGGTGCCTGAGGGGTGGCTTTCTTTCTATCACTCTTGTTGTTGTGAAAAATAAGAGGCCAAGGAATAAAAGAACTATTTTTAAAGACTGCCTTCTTTGGAAAATTCACATAGAATCAAGACCAAAAGGAACATATAAAAATATGAGACAAATCTGGTCAGGCCGAATGGGAAATCTTTCCTTGGCTGCAATGGAACATGAGAAATGGCTAGCCCAGGTCCTAATGCAGGAGGATTGAGACTGTAAGAATAACCCTGTATGTGTTTGGTTCTGTCCCCTCTGGTTTTCTCTCTATCTCTTGGCTGTTATTGTTATTTTACTGCTTAATTTTTTTTGCTAGACCGTTTATAGTATTATAAAGTAACTCAGATCCTTTATGGACCTAAGCTTCTTATAAATAATCTAAATATATATATATATATATGTATGCATATTTTAATAAAAAAACTAACAAAAATATTGCATAGGTTCATATTCATGTGCATTATTTATAAGGACACAAATTTAATGTATGTTCACTCAGAAGTTAATACATCACAGTACATGAAAATGTCACACCTGAGCCTGACTTTGGTAGCTCTGTCTTTGTAAGTGCTGAGGACAAGAACTCTTGCAATGGATCCTTACCTATGGCGTAGGGTGGGACCGCCCAGTTACAAACACCGAGATTTGACTCCCAGTGACTTGAAGGTTGGCCGCCGGCTGGAGGGATGCCAAGGAGGCAATGCTGGGACTTAACAGTTTAGTGATGCTTTTGACTGGCATGACAGAAGGCCGCAGAACCATGGGTCAACATCAGGAGTCAACGCCCTGAAATAGTGAGGTTGTCCCCATCTGAGCTGACCCGGGAATGCTGGCAGTGCTGGCCATAACTTGTGTTTAAGGGTAGAAGGTAACTGAGTAGCTCCCGCGTGAAGGTGTTCACGGGACCACAGATAAGCCTTTGCACTCGGAGACTGGGTCTGAGGACTGGCCTTGAAGCTGAGGGTGTTAGCAAAGGGTGTCCAGCAGACTCCCTCCTCCGGGGACAACTGGCCCTTCATGCTTTAACCCAGTCACTGCCATCGTTTAACAGGAGAGAGATGCTCTGGAAGGGGTGAGAGTGAGGATGCAGGGCTGCATGGGCTGGGTTCTCTGTGTTAATGACACCACAGCATGCTGAGGTCCAGTTGGGACCAGACATATGGAATGTTCTTTGTTGTGTTTGTTGGTTTGCTCTTAGTTTGTAGATTAGCTGCAAGCAGTGAAACACAATGGCTGATGTTACTGGAGAGACTGAGTTTGATGAAAGTTAAGGAAACATTTTTAGGATCTGTCACTGTCCTTGTGGAGCTCCTGTCCTTTCCAGGTCTTACTATCTCTCACTTCTTTCATAAGATTCCCTGGACTCTGCCCAAAGTTTGGCTATGAGACTCAACATCTGCCTCGATACCCTTCAGGGTAGGGTCTTTCAGAGGCCCTCTGTGGTAGGCTCCTGTCTTGTTTCCTGTTTTCTCCCTCCTCAATGACAGCAACAGATCCTAAAAGTCTGGGCACAGGGGTCTTTTCTGAAACTGATACTCCAGTCAAGGACCACTCATGGAGATGGCCTGGAGCACCTGCACAGAGGTAGCCTATGGCAGTTCAGTATCCAAGTGGCCTCAATAGTAATGGGGTCAGGGACTGTCTCTGACAGGAACTGATTAGCCTACTCTTTGATTACCTCTCCCTGAGGGGGGAGCAGCCTTACCAGGCAACAGAAGAAGACAATGCAGCCACTCCTGATGAGACCTGATAGACTAGGATCAGAGGGAAGGGGAGGAGGACCTCCCTTATCAGTGGACTGGGAGAGGGACACGGGTGGGGAAGCGGGAGAGTGGGATTGGGAGGGGAAGAGGAAGGGAGGTACATGGGGGGTACAAAGTGAATAAACTAATTAATAAAAATAAAAATAATTTAAAAATATAAGTTAGGGCTGGAGAGATGCTCAGAGGTTAAGAGCACTGGCTGCTCTTCCAGAGGTCCTGAGTTCAATTCCCAGAACCACATGGTGGTTCACCATCTATAGTGAGATCTGGTGCCCTCCTCTGGCGTGCAGGTGTACATGCAGACAGAACATTGTATACATAATAAATAAATCTTTTAAAATAAAGAATATAAATTACTAATCGTTAAAAAAAAGGAAGTTAAGGAGACACCTCAGCATTTGCCGCTTCAAATCCATGCCCTTTTTTCCTCCTCCAGTCGCATCTCAGCAGTAAACACACTACTGCGTCTTACAGCACAGTGTCTGTTGCTGCTGCCCAGTGTCACTGACTGCTCATTAACACCTTCACGGGCGTTACCTCACTGCGGTCCCACAACCGAGTCACCACATAACAAAGACCTTCCGGCTCCAGCGGTGATTCTGTGTTAGTGTGTGTGCTGTGCATGCATGTCGCACGCGTATGGGTATGTGTGTGGGTGTGTGTACATGCATGCACACAGAGGACCAACGGTACTGAACCTGGTGATCACCAGTTCCGCTGGGCTGGCCGGAAGCGTTGCCCAAGGAAAGCCCTGCTACGGTCATTGAGGGATAGAATTGCAGGCGCTGCCAAGCCTACCCGGCGTCCAACGTTCATGAGGGCTCTGGGGGTCTGTACTCTGGCCTGTGCATTTCCCCGGGAGCCGTCTCCTTAGCCCGAAAGTAGTGACTCATTCTTTTCCTTTCTTCCTTTCCTCCTTTCCTCCCTTCCTTTTTCCCTCCTCCCCTTCCCCGCTCTTTCCTCTTCCTTCCATCCCTCTCCTTCCTTCCATCCCTCTCCTTCCTTCCTTCCTTTCTTTCTGAGACATGATCTCACTATGTAGCCCAGGCTGGCTTGGCATTTACCACATAGACCAGGATGGCCTCAGCTTCACAGATGCCCTCCTGCCCCTGCCACCTGATGCTGGGATTGAAGGTGTGCACCACCATGTCCAGTTTAGTAGTGACTCTTATGCCTTGTATATGTTTTCAGTTCACCTACTGGTTAAAGGTAGTGTCTTTAGTCCTCCCTATAAACATGGGTTATAGAAACAAAGCAATTCTTTCTCAGGAGAGCTACCCCAAATCCCTTACCTCAATCCCTTACTCTTCCATCTACCATCTTCCCTTTCTCCCTCCCCCCACCTGACGAACAGTGCACAGATCTGTCCTTTGTGCTGAGGACCCTGCCAGACACTACAAAAAAGTGAGGGAATTCTGTGGCTCCAGAATCCATGCTCCAGACAGGAAGAAAAGGTATGCAGACAGATTAGATAACAATGCTGTCTTTAAGATCTGCAAGTTATCTCAAACGTTCTCCCAGTTTTCTCTCTCTCCCTGTGTCCGGCTTGGTATCCAGAACATCCTGAAGAGTACACATACATACATCACTGATATTTTAGCACTCATATTTATCTTCCCCACTGTATAAGTTTTTCTTAGGTGAAACAAAATCTTAGGTACTATCTATGGAGAAAATGCCAAGAAAAAAATAAATCTTCTGTCAAAATCAGCCTCTGTGATTCACGGTACACCATGGGTCTGGGCATATGCAAAGACCAGAATGCAATTCTTGGTAGGAAGTATGTATACAGGTATTCATAGGGAAGCAGATCTGGGCTACATATCTTCAGAGCCAGGTTTACCCTCTATGGTAATAAAGGTTGTGTGTGTGTGTGTGCGCGCGCACACACACACACACATACACACACACATTCGAGTTCATGATCTATTTAAGTCCTGGCAATTGTTCTCACTTGTTTGTTGGAGACAGGGTCTGGGTACGGAACCCAGACAACCCTCAAACTCATCCTCTAGCCTCTGCCTCCCAAGGGCTGGGATTATAGCAATGACAAGTTATTTTGACTTATCTCTACTTAAGAAATCAACTATGAAAATCTATATCTGATGGTATAATGCGTAGGGATGGGCTCTCAGGAATCCCAAAACTCCCTGATATAACAGGCAACACTAGATGGTTTCAAGAGAGAGTTTCCATTTGTTACCCAGTTGAACCCAAGACCATAAAGTAATTAAGACTCAGCGAGGAGAGCATCTAAGGCTTTAACAGGACCAGTTTGTGTCTCATAAGGTCAAGGCCTTTCAGCATGGGATGCTGACAGGATACTGTACTTACATCAAGAGCCACAGACTGCTTCGCCCAGGACTTCTTCACTTGATCATACATAATTGTGTTGTTGATACCCAGGCCACAAAAGATGACGAAAGCCTAGGACACAGAAAGCCTGTTAATTAAAAACTGTAATAACTCATAGCCAAAAGCTAATATGAAAGCAGACAGTCACCAGAGACAGTTCCGAAAATATAATTTCACTGTGCTCAGAGGTGGGCCTCAGGGAAATGTGCATTAAAATTCTTAATTACTATTGTCATGTAAGAACTTTATAGTTCACAAATGCACATGAGAAAAAAAGTCATTTCTTTAATGACATCGCGAGGAAATAACTTTGCACATTTGAAAGTTTACAATGTGTTTAAATGTGTCTTAATTTATTTGGGCAGTAGGCTGATTTTTCTTATTCTATTTTATTTAACTAAAAGGAGCCTCTTTTAATAGTGAGGCTATGAAATATTTTGGGCAAGAAGTGAAGTAAGAAAAACCACAAGAACTAAGATAAGAGCTAAGGTCAACAAGACAGATTTAGAATTAGCTACTAAAAAGATGGAATAAGAAAAAAAAAGATAGATTGGGGGTGGAGAGTAGATTCTGGCACAGTCTGTGAAAAGGCACATCAAAGCCAACTTCTTCTGCTGGAGTCAGAAGGGGACAGAATTTTGTGAACTAGAGGGCTGTCTAAGGGTTTCATGATCAAAGGTGTGTGGCTAAGGGACGGTAATACTAGGGTGAAGTGGGAGTATTTCTGCAATAAAACCAAGATGAAATGCTCAAAAGCTACAAGCTAATCCAATGAGAGAAAACACAATCAAATCTTGGCTACACATTTATATAGTCTTTAAATTTTCCTCTAAGTTCTGGTACACCTTTTAACTATATTAAAACAATCAATGTTTATCCTGACAAAGGTGGGCAAGGAAACTGTTGATGGTTCAGTTCTGGTTCTCAGCTTATAAATTTACTTGCTCACCTCAAAAAGCCGTTGGTCTGCATCATCAAAAGGTTTCCCATCAAGTCTGTTCAGCACTTGAGCAACCCCTGTTGAGGAAAGGTGGGGACAGTGGTCATTGTCGGCACTGGGCGTTGTGTTGCTGTGACAGAGCGTGCCACAGCTGATTCTGGGAGTGACTTAACATACTCAGTTTAACTCTACACACTGGAGGTGTGATAGAGTTGGCAAGTATATTAGAATATAGATACACAGTTTTACAGAAATCACTGAATCTATCTGTCTATCTATATCTACCCATCTCTCAGTCTCTCTCTGTCTCTCTGTCTCTGTCTCTCAGTCTCTCTGTCTCTGTCTCTGTCTCTCTCCATATATGTATATTCCCATCCCCAGCATTATACCACCTGTGTTGGCATATGAATTCTAGAATGCAACAATCCAACCAAAAAAAAAAAAAAAAAAAGGAACTTCAATCCTTGAAAGCTGATAGCTTGTGTCTTCATTTAATAGAAACAAGCAAATAAAAATAGTGATGATTCTAAAGCAAGCCTATGGGGTTTTTTTAAGTACCTAACTTCTGACTGGTGAGCTAACTCATCGTATTCTCAACAACATATGAACAAAGGAAACGGCTTTCCCATAGAACAGGAAAACTGCAGCCCTAACTTTGAAGTGGTAGTAGATGTTTATCACCAGGCTTGCATGCAGGGCTGTGTGGGAGATTGCCATTCAATCAATGCGCAACTGTTTTTTATGGACATTTTCCCTCCTTTAAATACATACATATTTAAAGCTTTATATATGATATAAGTTAATTCCACTTTGTGCTCAGGCTCGGATTCCAAGAGCTTAGGATATTCTTCTTGATGCTTAATAATATACTAATATATTCATGCCAAGTTACACAGTCCAATGGGGTGGGGGGGGAGTCCTTTTGAAATGTAGGACTTGGGCTGCAAGTAAACTCAGTTGGTACAGTGTTTGCCTAGCAAGCAAGAGGGGCTACATAAATTGGGTCTGGTGACGTACATCTGCAGTTTCAGCACTCAGGACAGAGCCAAGACCAACAGTTCAAGGTCATTCTTAGCCACACAGTAAGTTTGTCATAGCTTGGGACACATAAGAGCCTGTCTCAAAAACAAACAAAGAAACTAAAAACAGGTCTCAAGAACATGCACAGAGTACTAAGTCATTGGTTACGTAGTAGAGAGAAACAAGAATATATACTATGTATCAAATACATCCCTCACTTTACATCTCTTACCAGAAAAAAAAACACCTTATTTTCATTGTGGTTTTAGGTAAGCTGCTCTCCTTTATGATTGCTTAAGCTTAGCCGTAAACTCTTCCTTTGCCTGGGCTTCTGTATTCACTACTTTTCCTGACTGAGTTTTTCTGTTGGTTTGGGTTTGGGCTTTTTGACAAAGGGTCTCCTATACTGTCAGGATGGCCTTGAATTCGCTGTGTAGCTGAGGATGACCTTGAACTCTTCCTGCCTCTACTACCGACCTGCTTGATTTCAGGTGTGTGTCACTATGTCAAGATCTGACCGTGTTTTCGTGAGGTACAGGGAAATGGCAGGCAGGGAAAAAATGTTAGCAGCTGCTTTTGCCTGCATTTTCTTTATTGTGGGGAAAGTGTCTATTCAGAGACAAGCCAGCTCAGGGGCGTGTTCAGATGTATCCAGAACCTTTGCACCCACTCTTTGCTCCAAAGCTCAGGCATGGACAAAGACATCATGAAAAAGCTAGGGCACCTCAAGTTGAAGCTTGATCCATTCAATAACTGTCACTCTGTGACTGTTTCAACCTCTCTGTGTCTGTCTGTCTCTCTTTGTCTCTGTTTCTGCCTGTCTGTCTATCTGTCTCTCTCCTTCCATCTCTTCTGAAATGTCTGTGATATAAAAATAGCAATGTTCAGTTGGTAGGCTTCTGAGACCCCTTCCAACTTCAGAATTTACGAGTGCTTTGAGATTAATAGATATTTCCTCCTGTTCTAATTAATGTCCTTTGGTTAGTAGTCTGTTCTTATGGAATTGTAGAATAGTATGGAGACATAGCTTTGTAAATTCTAGGCATAGAAATGTGGAATATACTGGACCTGGTGATATGAGCCTGCAAATCCTAGTTTTTCGGAGGCAGAGGAAGAAGTGTGATGAGCCCCAGGCTAGCCAGAGAGAGGTCAAGGGCAACACACACACACACACACAAATTGGCGATTTCATAGAAATACTCAGGCCCAGTTTCTGTCTTAAAGAAAGGTGTCTGTTGCATCACAAGCTAGTCATGTGGGTATCATCTTACCAATTATTTGGTGGCTGCTGTTCCAAATAGGGACACAGAGAACTGATCTTATGTGAAAACCAGATATCTGGTCCGCCTAGGGCAGAAAAAAAGGAGTTAATTATCATCAACTATTAGCCACCAGTTGAAAAAGTTATTTCTAAATACTATGATCTAAAATTAGTTGAGACAGGATCTGAAACCATTGCCCAGACTAATCTTGAACTCACCATCTTCACTCCATAGCCTTCTATAACAGAGGGCTGTGACAGCCATTGCAATCTAATCTTTGAATGAATGAATGAATGAATGAATGAATGAATGAATGAATACCGATGAGTAAAGAGGCTGTGACACAGTAAAGAGCGGGAGCGGGCCTTTAAAGAAAACAGGCTTGCATAGCTCAAAAAAAGGACACCAGCGTTTTTGCATGAGGTGTGAAAGGTAAACAGAAGTAAAGACTTGGAGTTTCAAATGTGTGCTACCAAGTCTTTGGTCATATTTTATGTTTTTTACATTTTTGTCACAGTGTACTCGGTCCATTAATCCATGAATATCCTTAATTTGCTGGTAGGTTTTAAAGACCACACTTTCTGTGAAAAAAAGAAACCCTGAGCATTCTTAATAAAATCAGTATGTTTGGGAAAAACAAAACAAAACAAAACAAAACCACTTACTCTCTTTTTCATTATGTCACAATGAGCAATACAAGAAAATCAAATTCAAATTCAGCATAAACCAGACAAAGCAGCCAACCAACCCGACTACCCCAACCCTTGCAACAACAGAGAAGTGGGCCACACCTGTGGCACCGGACAAGCGCTCTGCAGTCGAGCCTGGTTAATCAGTGCGCTTTATGGAAGCCAGTGGTCAGGGTTCGCCTTTGGCTGGGCGGACCCACTGGTAGGAACGTTTGAACCTATAATGAAATGTGTCAGATGAGCACTGACTGTTACTACCACGTCTTCTAAAGATTCGCTTTTATTATTTGAAGTTGTGTGTTATGACTCTGTGCATGGGTGTGGGGATGTGCTGTGAATGTGGGTGGAGTCACACCCCAGAACTGGGGTTACAAGCGGGTGGGAGACACCTGACATGGGGGTGGGAGCTGAACTTGGGTCCACTGAGGTAACAGTGCTCTTAACGGCTGAGCTGCCTCACCAGCCTGGGACTGCAGATTTTTCATTTTGCTAAGTTGTTATGAATGTTGTAAAATCCCATAACAAAAATTTAACAGAAACTGGGAAATTAAAAATAAACAAGAGGATCCAGAAGATCTCTGAGCTCTACAGAAGTCAGTCCAAGTATCACATCAGGCATTTGAGGACAAGTTTCCTGTCTGAGTGGCCAGAGAGGGGCTACCGGGGCTGAAAGGGCCCCAGTGAGTTAATACGACCTTTGCTTCCAGTGAGAAAGTGTCATCCTATCACTCTAACCAGAAAATAAGATAGCAATGATGAGATCTTAAATATTTGCTAAAAGTTAAGAGCTACTTATTTTTAAATTAAGAGTTCAGAACTATGTACTGTAAAGTATGAACCTGGAAAGCTAATTTTATATTTGATATCTTTTTGAAAAAAAATAGTCTGTTTATTATAAATGTGAATAAGCATCTAGAGAAACACAAAAGGCATAAAGATAAGGTCTGCCAGGTTTTCACAAAGTGCACTGTAATCAATACACAGAAAGTCAGGGTCACTTCATAGTCCTTTTCCAACCCCCAAACCAGTGCCCTGACTTCAGCCAACCCAAACTAGGATGCTTCGTTTAAAGCTGATATAAAGTGAGTCACTAATTGTATACTCTTGGGTGTCTGGCTTCTTTTCTATAATATTATAATTTTGTGCTTTACTCACTTTGGCTTGTGTTACACAGTGGCATCGTGTTCCCCTGTCTGAATGTCATGTTGCCAATTCATTCCACTCCCGTGGACCACTGACTTGTCCCCAGTGTAATCACAAATAATGTTCCTAGGAATATTCTTGTGCATTCTTCATACACATGTGAATGAATTCTTGCAAATAACTGTAATAGAGTTGCTGGATTGCAGACATGTCAGTTTCAGTGGACCTCTCCAAAAAGCTTCCCAGAGCAATTTTTAAAAACCAATTTACAACAGCAGAAACATTTAGCTGCCTTACGCCACCACTGTTCAGTGTCATCTGAGGTTTGTTCGCTTTGTTTTGTTCTCATTTTAACAATTCTGGGAACTGTGTGATAGTATCTGATGGTGAAAATACTACGTCTCTGATAGCCAGAAGAATTATTTACCTTGGCTTAAGCCTGATTTCTGGCATAATTATCAATGCCTTTATGCTTTCAAAGAGCATTCTCATTTAGACTGCCAGTCACTTGGTTCCCTGCTGATGGAAAAGTTGTGTAGCTTTCTTATGTTGTCTCTAGCCATCTTCTCTTTCATAAAACACCTTGTCAGAGGCGTTTTTGCTAGTGGGTTGTCTGACTTTTAAAAATCATATTGAAAAAGGCTTTTCCTATATAATGGATAAGAGCCACTCAGATACATAGATTATAAAAGTCTTCCTCATTCTGTATCTTGTTCTTTTACTCTCTTGCTTTTGACTTAGAGATCTATAAAACAATATTACACACTATAGCAGATTTTAATTTATGGTTAGAACATTTTAGTGTCTTATCTGAGAAATTTTACCCCACTTCTTGCTCATGAGATAATCTATTTTCTCCATCGCCTCTTTAACTTTCATATTTAAATTTATAGTCTAACTTTTGGTATGGAATGTGCACCAGGGGTTGAAACTTTAACATGCCACAACACTATTTTAAAGTGGGGGAGGGATCTCATTATTTTCATTAATCAAGTATCAGTGTTTGGTTCTGCTTCTGGACTCTCCATTCTTATTGATCTAGATAACTCTTTCAACATTTCACCTTTCTGCCTTAAGTAAGGTGCCATATCTTATTGGGCAGTGTAAAGTCTTCAATATCTAACACTTCCATACAAATGTCACAATTAATTTTATATTGGTGCTGAGCATACAGCCATTTTGGGGAAAAGGGTTGTGCTAAATTATCAGCCAACTTGGAAAAAAACTTGTCTTGATAAAAATTCAGCCCTTTAAAGAATATATTATTTCAAGTTACGATTCTCTCTCTTTCTCTCCTTCTGTCTGTCTGTGTGTGTATCTGGGTCTGTATATGTGCATGTGAACACAGGTACCCACAGAGGTTAAGAGAGGGTGTGTGATTCCTTAGAGCTGGATTTTCAGGCAGCCGTGAGCCTGATGTAAGTGCTAGGGACCAAACTTCAGTCTTCCACAAGAGTAGCAAGTGCTCTTTGCTGCTTAGCTACATCTTTCGCTCCCCAGAGTTGGGTCTTTTGATCCATAAACATTCTTCAATTAACTTAGAGCTGAATTTTCTTTCAGCAAGGTTTTTATATGTACAAGTCTTACATGTAATTTGTTACATTCATATTCCTGGTGCTTCAAAAGTTCGTGTTATTATAAGTGATGCTGTTTTAATGCTTTATGCTTTTACTTTGGTATTTATGGGAGATTATTTCCAGGGTCTTTGAAAATATATGAATATTCAAATCCTTTACATAAAGTGGCATCATGTCTGCATACAATGCCTGCACATTGTATGAGCTTTACATATCAAGCCTATATCTATCAATCTGTATATAGCAATTATTAAATTTAATATGTCATCTGAATATTATTTGGGATTTTCTAGCCACACTATTGTGCCATCTTATTCTTCAGTTCTTTTACTTTTTAATCATATGATGCTAGGCCATATGATTTTCTTCTCTCATTTAATATAGAACATAGATAGGTTTTTAAGAATCCCAACCTACACATGAACTGAACCCAAGGACGACACCAACAGACATGCTACTGGGGAGTTAAACCTAGGGGGCCTCAAACCTAGACAAAGACATAAGGACCACCAAGGAATATTGAAAGTGGAAAGGGTAGATAGAGCACGCCAACGTGTACTCCTGTACCAGACCATCTGTCTGCCTTGAAAACATAGTACAAGACACATTATACAGACTGAGCAGGAAGACACACACACACACACACACACACACACACACACCTCACCAACCACCACCACCACCAACAACAACAACAATTAAAGAAAAAGAAGCCATGACTTTGAAGGGTGAGTGTCAGATCCAAATTCTGGAGGTGAGATCAAAGCCAGCATTACTCAGGAACTTACGAAACCAGCCCCCCACTTGCAGAAGGGACAATGGTTGTCTGTGGTGCCCATTAGCATGCCACAGTGCATCCTGGCCCCCGGCCTCCCTCAGAATCACAAGCACCTACTACACATTTCAGAGTCCATGCTGGCATCCTGGCTCTTCTCTCCCACCCCTCACACTGAAGTTCTCCAGCTCGTGGACTTTCCTAACCCCAGCTTCCCTCTATCCTCACCACCCTGCTCCATCTGCTATGCTGCTCTGGTTTTGTCCCTCTCTCTTGGTCCTCTTCTCCCTTTGTCTCTCTCTCTTTCTTTCTCTCTCTCTCTCTCTCACATACACATACACATACACATACACTCTCTTTCTCCTCTTTTGGCCCAGTTCAGTCCGCTGCCCTTATTTGGTCTACCACCTTCTCTCTCTGCTCTGGACTCTCCCAAATGTCTCCTATCTGCCATAAAACCTTCCTTGGAGCAGCCTGCTGTCAGTTTATACATCTGGACCAAAACCCTTAGTTCACAAAGTGGGTATATTCACAGGAGGTTTCAGGGGGGAGGGAATGGTATAATTATATTATAATATTAAAAAATTGTTTAAATTTTTTAAAAATTAAAAAAAGAATTCCAGACAAAACAGTCTGAAACAAAATAGGAACGTAAATCATCCATCCAGCATACCCTTCCCACAGTTATTTATTAATGTTTCCCATGTGGATTGCAGAGTACTGGGGGATAGAAACATGAACTCAAGTCATCCTTGAAGAACTCAAACTACTCATGGCAGACATAAAGGTAAGATACGTGTGCAAGCAGACAAGGTTCAGACCGTGGTATGGAAAAAAGCTCCAAAAAGACTACAGAGAAATCAAGAATAGCTTTAGATCCTTTAAAAACAAACCTTCGGCG